TATAACGTTTAAAGAGAACGCGTTTAATACTATAGTTAATATTACTAGGTAACTTAAAGAAATTAAATGCTAAACTATACTCTATTAAGGGGTTATTTTAGTATTAAAGGGTAAGAAAATAAATTTTCCGTTTCTTATATACTTAGTTTTATATTAATTATTAATTTAAAATACTTATAATTAATATAATCGCGTTTATAATAGTAAGATTATATATACTATTATATAGGCGAGTTTATACTAGGGTATACTAGGGAAATTTACGGTTGTATTACGTTATAAAAATAAAGGTTTATTCGCTACGTTTTTAGGTATAAAGGCTATAATAATTTATAGGTATAGCTAGTAATTTACTAAACGAGTTTTATCTTAGATTCTATTATTTAATAGGGATAATAATTTACGATAAACTAGTTAATAGGGATTAGTAATTATAATTCTTTATTTTCTACCTACTAGTTTATTTACTTTTATAGTATTTTAATTTATAAAATTATAGCTTATAGAAAGATATTTTATATACTAGTAATTAATATTACGCTACTTAATTATACTTGCGTTTTAATTGCAGCTATTATTAACGTAATTATAGCTAATAGACGCGAATTTATCGTTTTAGTTTATATACGTTAATCTAGTAATTTAATTACTTAACTTAAAGAGGTAAAAGATAGAAGTTATCTCCTTTAATAAGAGAGTAATATAATGTATAGTCGATTAAATATAGCTTTAATAACTATATAAAGGCGGCCTTTAAAGCTAATTCTTACCTCTTTTATATCTTTATAATAGTATATACTTCTCCCTAAATAAAACGCATTAATTAATATATATCTTATCCCTTACCTTAATTCTAATATATATAATAAAGCTTAATACTTTAAGCTCTTAGTAATATTATTATAATAGATTCTAATAAGAAACTATATATTATTAATATATCTTAGACTTTCTTACATTCTAGGCTAATAGCGCTAACTAGTTCTATTATATCTATTATATTAGATATTATATTAAATTAGAAGGTTAATAGTATAGCCTTTACTAAACGTTTTATAAATGCTATTAAAAAGCTTATAATAGTAAAGCTCTTTAATAATTCTTTATTAAGTAATAAAGCCGTAAAGCTAATAAGAAGAATAGTATAGCCTAGCTATACTTTAACTCTAATATTTAAGCGCGTAAAAGAAGCGTAAGTAACTAGCCTTTACCCCTTTAAATTTAACTAATAGCATTATAATTAAGATAATAAGATATATAAGTATAAAATTATTAAAGTAATAAAGTCTAGTATTAAGAACCTTAATTAATACGTGTTTATTATTTAAGAAAGAATTAATTAGTTTCTTTTAATGTAAAATAAAAACCTATTAATAAGATTCTTATAAATAAAAGAACTAGTAAAAAAACGTTATTTATTAATATTAAATCTCTATTATTAAGAGACATTTTACGAGAGGCTTATCGTAATATTTAAGGTATCTTTCTCGCTAAGAATACTCTATTAATAAGAGTTCTTATATACTAAACATGTAAATATTTAATAATACCTTATAAGTTAAGTAAAATATGCTTTTTTATATCTAGCACTTCTTAAGATACTACTAGAATTATACTATTAACACCTAAGATATAGTTATATAAAGCTACTTAGACTTACTAGTAGGCTATATTAATATAACGTTTAAATTAATTAAGAACTACCTATTAGCGCTTCTTATAAAAGGTAAGATTACATATAACTTACTATAAGCTCTCTTTAAGCTAAATATTAAGGTGTATATAACCTATCCTAAAACCGGTGCTCTTAGATATATATTATATAACTATTATAAAGAGATATAGAAAATAAATAGGTTTAAGTTTATGCACCTAAAGACTCGCTTTTTAAGTATAAATAATAAGTTTCTTAGTAAGGTATTTAATAAAAGTAAGATTTTATTTTTCTAAGATACTAAGAGAATTAAGCTTCTTTTAGCGTATTCTTTATAATACTATTTAAATTACGAAAGGGTTACGCGGGAATTAACCTAATACGGCCGCTAATTTATCTCGTTAATTAAAGCTTATTATCGTTAATACGTAAAGATAGCTTTTTACGTGAATAAGAAAGGGGAAATCGTAAAATGGTATATTAAAGGGCGTATTATAATAAATACTATTTATTTTTAAGAATAAAATCTAAACTATTTAGTACCGCGTATTCGTAACGTAAAATTAAGGCTCTTAAACGTAAGACTAAATAAAACGGCTAGCCTTAAATATCTTAACGCGAATTAACTAAAGGAAATTAACTTTCTTATTTATAGCTTAATGGTTTTAAGGTTCTATCTTAGAATTAAAGCATTCTATTAATAGTAACCCTTCTTTATAATATTAATTTATTAATAGGTAAGAATAATTAAGTTTACGGTTACTTATATCTCTAATATTTCTTAGAGTCTATTATTCTATAAAGATATTAAGATACTAGAGTAGTAAAAGAAGCTTATTTAAGCTCTTATAAAGACCTTTTTAAGTTATAATAAGACTAACGCCTTTAAAGACCTTATATAAGGGAAAGGGTAAGGTATTAATTTCTTACTTTAATTTATAAGCTTTAGAATTACTTATAAATATATAATTAATACTTTAAAATAGCGGGCCTTTTAATATTAGAAAGACTTTAATAGCTAAAATAATCGTAGAGTCTTATAAGAGACCCCTTTACACGGTACTAGTAGGGTAAATTAACGTGAATCTAGTAGGTGTAAAGAGGGTTTTAATAATAATCTTTAAGATTATAAGCTACTAAAAGGCTATCTTATCTTTAAATAAGGCGAATGTATTTTTAGCTTAGCGCTTTAATAGCTTATATATTAACGCTCTTATCTTTATATTCTTACGTAAATTAAAGTAATATAATAGTATTCTTTTCCTTATAATTAACTAAGTGTAATTATTTAATAAAGCGATAATTAATAAAATTCACCTTACCTTATATTATAAGCTATTAGAAAAAGATACAAGTGAGGCGGTATAGTAGTATTTCTTAGAGTAGGTAATAACTAAGAGTGGGATATTAGATTATTAAAAGCTAATTAATAGTTTAATGAACGTGAATTTAAATAACCGTAAGGTTTATTTATACTCTCCTTATTCTTAAACGTATTCTTACTATTAAGTAGATTTAAAATACTATTTTTATAGTAAGATTTATAGCTAAGTATAAGAATATAATTATATGTGAGAGTTATCTTAAAGAATCTATTATTATAAGGAAATAATTTTAACGCGATTTTCGTAAAGTAAGCGCAATTAATAGCCTAAGCTTATACCTTTAATTTATTCGTTTATTAATTATTTTAGGGGATAAAAGTATAATAAGTTCTATTAAATTATAATGGAAATTACGGCTTAAAGTAGTTTTTATATAGCTTTATAGTATTTACTTATTTAATTAAGTATAATTTTCTCTTATTTATATAATTTAAGTCTTCTTAGTAGTATAGTTAATTGTACGTAAATTAAAGATAGAGTAACTATTCGTAATAAAAAAGCCTATTTAAACCTAGTAGGCACTTACTCTTTTTAAAAGCCTTCCCTAATTAGACGCCCTATTAATATTAGCTAATAGGGTAAGTTAGTTTTAGTTGTATTAACACTACTAATATTAGGTATAAAGGTCTTATACTACTAACGCATTTTATTCTTTTTACAGTTAAATATATTACCCTTTTTAATAAACGGTATAATATTAATAGTATTATACTAATATATTACCTGCCGTAACCTTTTTTACCTTATTTTAGTTATAACCGTCTATTATCGCTTTTAAATTATTAAGTAATATAAGCTAGGTAATCTAACTATTATTACTAGGTAGCTAGGTACCTAGTACTATAGTGTTAGTTAGTAGTTAGTCTAATAAAATAAGACCTATAACTTAATTATTACTTTACTTCTTAATTAAATCTTATTAACGCCTAGCCTAAACTTATATACTATTATTTATAAAAGATATATTAGTTAAATTACTACTAGAAATTTTAAAGCTTATAATTAAAAATATTTATAAGATACTCTTATTTTATTAACCTAGCTACATGTATTAACTCTTTAATTATACTAGTTATAAAGAGTAGACCTAAAAGCACTCTCCTAAACTTTAAGATACATATATTAGCTTATTACTAGTAAGCTTTAGTAATTTATAGTAATTAAGCTGTAAAGCGAATATAACCTTTATTACATTTTAATTATAGCCTTTTCGTAATCTTATTTATAACTTATTAAAGAGATTTATTTTCGCTTTAAGGTGTAATATACTACTATTAAAAGATATCTTATACTAAGAATCACAGTAATTTATAGCGCTTTAATAATAATAATAATAATAATATTAATGCTAAATATAATAATAATAAGAACTTAAATAATCTACGCTTTATTTGCCTTACTAAGAAAGCTAAATTATTACTATAATAACTTAAGAACACCTAATTACGTAGCTTTAGGTAAACACTCGTTATTCATACCGTGTTCATTCTACCAGACAACTGACACTCTTGTTTAGCTGGAACTTGGGTACATGCGTTCCACCTGAAATTCTCAGTGCCAATGGTGTTATCCCGCAAAAACAGCCCCTAATTCGATCCTTACGCTTAACAACCGACTTTACCTGCCTTCACTATTTCGATGCAGAATGCGGGATAGATCTATCACGTTTCCGCCAGCTTCGTCAACTAAGTTGGAAGGCACCTAATGCTGATAATCTCGACACCCTTTCCGTCGCTATCTGAAATATTTCAACGCATCTGGAGAAGCTGGAGTTAGATTTCGTACACTGGCAAAAACTTCAGGATGACCTAGGTTATTACGATGATAACGATGACACTAGTGGCATTTTGCCACAAAATTACTTCATTCGCAGAGTTCTCTTTTTGAATAAACGCTCTCCGCGTCCTTTGTTACCAGCAATCCGCGTCCTATCCCTTTCACAGGTGCCTATTGCAGCTGAGATGACAGACGTCATCAATTTCGACATCCTCGTTTCCCTGACGCTGCGGATCTGCCTCGGCTGGGACCGATTTTTACAGCGTGTCATACAGCTCAACGTTCCGATGAATCTGAAAACACTCGAGATTCAAGAATCGAGCAGTGTATCATGTAGCTGGACGGAGGATATCCTCGCAGATTTCCTGAATGCATTTGAGGGACTTGAAGAGCTTTACATAAGTCACGTAAGGCCGGTTCCAGGCCTTGGTTTCTTAAACCGTAGCATCCATCGCCATACAACGCTCAAAAGGTTTGTACATCACCAGAGAACCATCGATATTGACGATGAGTCACCTCACTTTGAAGAGGAGCATGACTTATCCGATCTTGCCATTCTCGGACGCGAATTGCGCCAGATAAAAGAAGCCCCTTCGCAGAATCCCTTGGCTTGGCTCAATCTTGAATTCATTGGACTAGCCTGTGTCCCTGAACGTTTGGTGAGTGCCTGCGATCTCCCTCCCATATGCCAGTGCTAAGGGCAACATCCTGTAGAAATACCTGCTGCTTCCTTTCAAGTCAAAGACCTCCTTGAAGGTACTCCACATTCGCCAGTCAGGTTCAGACCTTAAACACTACGCATCCTGGGCCGTGGAGGGGCAGGATCGTACCTCGAGACAAGGAAGCGTGGCTTCACATGATAGTATGGAGTCTTTACCCTGGACTGACTCGAGCGTCACAAGTCTACCTACCGAGATGGAGGACGCGACTGTAAGACACGAGGCATGGCTTAGGCATAGAATGCGGAATGAATTTTGCGGATTTATTTTCGCTTTAAGGTGTAATATACTACTATTAAAAGATATCTTATACTAAGAATCACAGTAATTTATAGCGCTTTAATAATAATAATAATAATAATATTAATGCTAAATATAATAATAATAAGAACTTAAATAATCTACGCTTTATTTGCCTTACTAAGAAAGCTAAATTATTACTATAATAACTTAAGAACACCTAATTACGTAGCTTTAGGTAAACACTCGTTATTCATACCGTGTTCATTCTACCAGACAACTGACACTCTTGTTTAGCTGGAACTTGGGTACATGCGTTCCACCTGAAATTCTCAGTGCCAATGGTGTTATCCCGCAAAAACAGCCCCTAATTCGATCCTTACGCTTAACAACCGACTTTACCTGCCTTCACTATTTCGATGCAGAATGCGGGATAGATCTATCACGTTTCCGCCAGCTTCGTCAACTAAGTTGGAAGGCACCTAATGCTGATAATCTCGACACCCTTTCCGTCGCTATCTGAAATATTTCAACGCATCTGGAGAAGCTGGAGTTAGATTTCGTACACTGGCAAAAACTTCAGGATGACCTAGGTTATTACGATGATAACGATGACACTAGTGGCATTTTGCCACAAAATTACTTCATTCGCAGAGTTCTCTTTTTGAATAAACGCTCTCCGCGTCCTTTGTTACCAGCAATCCGCGTCCTATCCCTTTCACAGGTGCCTATTGCAGCTGAGATGACAGACGTCATCAATTTCGACATCCTCGTTTCCCTGACGCTGCGGATCTGCCTCGGCTGGGACCGATTTTTACAGCGTGTCATACAGCTCAACGTTCCGATGAATCTGAAAACACTCGAGATTCAAGAATCGAGCAGTGTATCATGTAGCTGGACGGAGGATATCCTCGCAGATTTCCTGAATGCATTTGAGGGACTTGAAGAGCTTTACATAAGTCACGTAAGGCCGGTTCCAGGCCTTGGTTTCTTAAACCGTAGCATCCATCGCCATACAACGCTCAAAAGGTTTGTACATCACCAGAGAACCATCGATATTGACGATGAGTCACCTCACTTTGAAGAGGAGCATGACTTATCCGATCTTGCCATTCTCGGACGCGAATTGCGCCAGATAAAAGAAGCCCCTTCGCAGAATCCCTTGGCTTGGCTCAATCTTGAATTCATTGGACTAGCCTGTGTCCCTGAACGTTTGGTGAGTGCCTGCGATCTCCCTCCCATATGCCAGTGCTAAGGGCAACATCCTGTAGAAATACCTGCTGCTTCCCTTCAAGTCAAAGACCTCCTTGAAGGTACTCCGCATCCGCCAGTCAGGTTCAGACCTTAAACACTACGCATCCTGGGCCGTGGAGGGGCAGGATCGTACCTCGAGACAAGGAAGCGTGGCTTCACATGATAGTATGGAGTCTTTACCCTGGACTGACTCGAGCGTCACAAGTCTACCTACCGAGATGGAGGACGCGACTGTAAGACACGAGGCATGGCTTAGGCATAGAATGCGGAATGAATTTTGCCGCTTCGCTGAGTGGGTGTTTGGACCATATGGAATTAGCTCGCTGCGGATCATGGCATTCGGAGACTTTGCCTATGGAGGCCGCTCTATCACGAATAATTTCCTTTTCGGCAGAAACACAGAGGGAAACAGCCATTTCCGCCTCCTCAGCGAATACGAACCAGAGTGGAAGAATATCCGAGACGAGTATCGCCATGCATTAGGTGCTTGTCCAGTTGAAGCACTTCTTGGAGATTGATACGGCTAAGGTGCAAGGAATCTGGTCCTCGCACTCCAACCACACCTGCCAGAAAGGCTTATGTCGTACACCATATCTAGCCAATCAGCGGCCTCATTTCAATTGGGTGGAACAGGTGTAATCAGCTCCACCGATATTGCTACGCTGTTCAAGAGCCACCGGGGCCGGTCTAGCAAAGACGGACGACTTATCTAGGCCAGGCTCTAAGACAGCATGTCCTCATATCATCTCACGGCAATCACACGATATTAAGACTCTTTGAAGGCGAGAGAGCATTCAATTGATCTGGTCTTCATAGCTAAATGTCTGCGCCCTATGTTGGACTTGATGATGACGGACTCTCGGGGACTATCGGTCCCCGACAAGTCTTCAGTTTTGTGCAGTACCGAACCTGCAGGGACTCCTTTGAACGTTTAGGGAATTGGCGACTGTGTCCTTGGTGAATTCGGTGAATTTCTGTCCACGGTAGCTGCTGCTCTTCCTTCAACACAGCGATTAGTTTATCTTCATCCGGTGTAAATTTGGCTCTTCTTGTGCAGTCGTCAATTGCCCGCTTAGGACGATCTGAGCCATCGGGCTTATTGGGAATTGCCCGGCTAAGTTGACTGTGTGTTACGCATAGGTTCCAGTCAAACTGCAACTGAAACGTAGCTACACCGTTTAATGTGATACGTTTCAGCAAAACATTATGTAGTGGCCACTCTCCAAACTCCGCCATACCAACATTATCCTGAGAATCGGTAGTCGCAGTGTCAACAACTGGCAACTCGGGGATGCTTAGCGCTGGCGTCGATGCATGGGGCTCAACCCACATCGTACTCTCTACCGAACAACAGCGGCTTCCGCTTTCTTCATCGCGCTCTTCGCCATCCTTGGACAATCGATCTGCTTTGCGTCGTTTCGGTAACGGCGGCTCCACGGAGTTGTTTGCCAGCTGGTTTCCACCTGTGAGGTGTAGTTCACAGCCTAGAGCAGGACGATGCTTATCCGCCTTAGCTGTCCTACCATCGCTAGCAACATGCAGAACCTCTTTGTCGGCCATCGAAACCCGCTTGCACGACGTTTGGTTGGGATTTGCGGCGCTCTCGCGGCATGCCCGAATTTCTCCCGGGTCGCTTTTACTCCTTGCCGCCCGCGCCCGACAAGACAGGTTCGAAGCCGCCGAGAAGTTGGTGGGGCTATTGGAAGCATAGCAATTCGGTGCCACACTAGGTCCATCTTGGGAGAACAGAGAACTTTCGGAAGAGACAGTGTCTGGTGCGTCTGGTGGGTTGTCAAGATCAATGAGAGGATAGCAAGTTGAGTCACAGCCGGGGGCAGGACCAATGAGAGCAGGGTCAATGGGGTATAGCTCGTCAAGCATATCCTCGTCCGGTGTCGTAATATGTGTAGATTGAGATACACCAGATGTTGAAGACGGACTTGGAGGACTGGCTAGTTGAGGCGGCAAAATCTCCCCGCCATGCGTCTTCCCGAGGCCGGATACTATCGTCGGAGCTTGTTGCTGAAATCCATCAATCCCCATCCCGCATTCAAAGCTCGATGTTCTGGGCCTCGCTAATTTCTTATCAGTTCTGGCTTTGTCGGAAGGCAAACTATAACATTCACTTACCCACATTATCTACCAAGAACTCTGGCTGAAGAGGCATAGTCGGAAGTCCAACCGCATTGCCCAGTTGCCAGGCTTCCATATTACCCCCAGCATTAGCAGTATTATTGCCAGTGCCGTCTGTTGATTTACAATTGGATATGCAAGTCGGCTCATCCGTAGATCTTTCGTAGACAGTTGGTGAAACGATAGGTTTAGATCTCGTAGAGCGAACACGAGTCCTAGGTTTCCTGCGTGGTTGTGTCCAGAAAAATTGGTTGTCTAGAGAGACTATAGACGCCATCGGGAGACACCAAATGTCGGCAGAATAAAAAGCAGGTAAATTAGGACTCTTAACGAAGTGATAAGATAAATAGATTTTTCGCTCATTCAAGGCAGTAATGTATTAATCGTACGGTAGAGTAGTTGAGAGAATGAGTTTTACAGACTGAATGCCGCCATGAACTGCAGCCAGCCATTTTATACTCGTTTGGTTGTAAACGTCCGTGGCCGACCCGAGCTAGTCCTGAGCAAGGCATTTTGTCCATGCATTCCCCACCAGTCCAAAAATACAGCAAACTAACACTTTAACTCCCAGCGATACTGTAGCACTTTAAACGCGGACATCCGTATCACGATTTCTGTCTCGGGAAACTTCTGATTACTGGACCAGCGTAATTTTTCAATTCGCTGGAGCCGTCCGCGGATCTTGGCCGTATTCGTGAGAGAATGCATCAAGACCCCCCGGTAAAAAGTGTATAAATCATCGCGTCCAGTTGAGAAACTGCAACATGGCCGCCATCGTAGGATAACGCCTGTAGCGCCGATGAAGGAGTAGACGGAAATTACATTACAAAATACACGCTTGTGCCATGGGCGGCGGAGTTATTTGATTGGGTCGAGAACGGTAGATCGTCGTGAAGGCAAGGCAGACTGTCGACAATACATGCTAGCTGCATGAAGCTGAACCGTACGGCTGCATGTGTGACGAATTCAACCATGAAGCAACATCACATGGTTCCAGACATGGTCTTATGATGGTTTCAGCTCGGTGGGTTATCGTACGATTCGGAGATGACGCGTAAGCTCGTGAGGTTGCAGAAGGCGAGGTGGCAGTCCAAGCCGTGCAGGTGGGATGTTAGCCAGGTTGTTGACTTCCTGCAAAGTCGGAGTCAGACTGCCGTTGGCAGCCATCAAGTTTCTGCTACTCCAACGGCCTTGGCCAACTCCCTCAGAAGAGACAGCCGAATGGCCGTCATAACCAGTTCATTTGTCCATTTCAATTTGAAAATGTGAAATTTGGCGAAGTATGGTGGATGGGTCTGAGAACTCGAACCGGGGGCTACCGGCGGAACCAGTGGCTGGAACGTAGGCCGAGAAAGGGGCTCGGTAATGTCCGTCAATTCGACTTATTGGCCGTGCGTTGGCATGCACGTAGAAAGCAACGACGCCAAAAGGGTCAGAATGACAGGGAGGAGGGGGTGAAGGAAAGAGTTAAGTTGAGGACGACGAGGAGAGGTGAGCGAAGGAGGGAGAGGGGGGGTTCTTTATAGGTGTGGTCAAAAGCAGCGACGCGACCGACATGGGTGGGGTGGGTGCCGCCAAACCCGGCGGGGAAGGCCGCGACACTGAGATAATAAGTATAGTTTAAATTCTAATATTACTATTATTAGGCTAGCTCTTATAATAGATATATATTTATTATTAAGGTTTATTATAATAGTTAGTAATATTTAATTTTATAATTTTAATAATATACCTTTAGAGATATAACACGTGTATATATTAAACGAAACTCTAGTATACACCTATTATCCCTTATATTACGTAATTATAAAGCTCTTTATATATACCTTAATTATTAGCCTAAGGTTAAGGTAGTAATTAAAGTAAGACTTATAAATCCCGTTAAATAATATGCTAAGTATTTAAAGGTAATAGTTAAAGTTAAAGAATTACACGCTTTTATTTTTAATAAGTATTAGACTATTATTACTACTATTATAATTATAGCTAAAATCGCTAATTATTACTAAGAATAGTCCCTAGTTCTAATAGTTATTAACGAAGCTAGTTATTTAATAAAGGCACTTAGTTTTATTTTACTTATAAAATAGCCTATAATACCACGTATTATTTATAGAGATATTAAGTAATTTATACTAATAGATTTAACTTAAGGCTATATTATCTTGTTACGAACGTCACTGCACGAGACGCGGGATAATAAGTATTAGACTATTATTATTACCGTTATAATTATAGCTAAAATTACTAATTACTACTAAGAATAGTCTCTAGTTCTAATAATTATTAATAAAGCTAATCGTTTAATAGAAGCGCTTAGTCTTATCCCACTCGTAAAATAGCTTATAATACCACGTATTATTTACGGAGATATTAAGTAATTTATACTAATAGATTTAACTTAAGGCTATATTATCTCTTTTTAAGTTATTATTAATAATAAGTTAAAGAACTTTAAGTATAGTTTTCTTTCTTAGATTATAAGAGTATAATTCGAATAATATATATGTTATCCTTAGTATAATATAATTTCTCGTTTAATATCTTTAAATTGGTTTATTATAATTTTAGTTATATTATAAGGGTTTTCTTCCCTTTTTATTCTCGCGAAAACCATTCACTCCCTTACTTATTATTAAGGTACGTATAGTAATTATCGTTATAATAAAAGGTTTAATTAAGAAGTTTATATTTAACTTTAAGTTTATCTTCCTTAATTAAATAATTCTCTTCTTCCTAAATTAATTCTAGTAAAGGTTTACTTTTTAGTAATAGCATCTAGTATTCCTAAAAATTATTAAGTATTAGCTAGGTTTTAAGTTTCTAATCTTTATTTAAACTAATATTATTTATTAA